TTTTTCCAGACTTCATGGAAGCAACAGTTCCATCGACCGGCGCAGACCCCATGGAGATTACTGCCCCATCATGCAGTGCACCCTCCAGCTTCAGTGCCAAATGACCCTCAACCGCTGCCCATGGTGACGAAGGACTTGTCTTTGAAACAACAGCCTGCGTCTAATTGACACGTTTTTGCAGACTGCATGGAAGCGACAGCCCCATCGAGCGGCGCAGAACCCATGGAGGTTACAGCGCCATCATTCAGTGCATCCTCCAGCTTTCTGCCCAAAGAACCCTCAACCGCTGCCCATGGTGAGGAAGGACTTATGTTGGAAACAACTGTCTGCGTCCTAATAGACAAGTTTTTCCAAACTCCATGACAGCAACAGCCCCACCGTGCGGCGCAGACCCCATGGATGCTTCAGCCCCATCATGCAGTGCAGCCTCCAGCTTCCGACCCAAAGAACCCTCAACCGCTGCCGATTTTGAGGAAGGACATGTGTTTGAAACAACAGCCTGCGTCTAATGAACACTTTTTTCCAGACTCCATGCAAGCGACAGCCCCACCGTGCGGCGGAGACACCATGGAGTCTACAGCCGCATCATGCAATGCAGCCTCTAGCTTCTGGCCCAAAGAACCCTCAACCGCTACCGGTGGTTACGAAGGATTGTGTTGGAAACAACAACCTGCGTCCAATAGAAAAGATTTTTCAGACTAAATGGAAGCGAGAGCCCCACCGTTCGGCGCAGACCCCATAAAGCTTACGCCCCCATCATGCAGTGCAGGCTCCAGCTACCGGCCCAAAGAACCCTAAACCGCTGCCCATGGAGACAAAGGACGTATGTGGGAAAGAATAGCCTGCGTCAAATACAGACATTTTTCAAAACTCCATGGAAGCGACAGCGCCTCGAGCGGCGCAGAGCCCATGGAGGTTACAGCCACATAATGCAGTGCAGGCTCCAGCTTCGGGCCCAAAGAACCTTTAACCGCTGCCCATGGCGACGAACGACTTGTGTTGGAAACAACAGCCTGCGTCTAATAGACAAGTTTTTACAGACTCCATGTACGTGACAGCCCCATCGAGCCGCGCAGACCACATGGAGGTTTCAGCCCCATCATGCAGTGCAGGCTCTAGCTTTGGGCCAAAAGAACCCCCAACCGCTTCCCATGTTGACGAAGGAATTGTGCTGGAAACAATAGACTGCGACTTATAGACACATTTTTCCAGACTCTGTGAGCGACAGCCCCTCGAGCGGCGCAGTCCCCATGAAGGTTACAGCCCCATCATGCAGTGCAGGCTCCAGCTTCCGGCCCTAAGAACCCTCAACCGCTGCCCATGGTGATGAAGGACTTGTGTTGGAAACAATAGCCTGGATCTAATAAACACATTTTTCCAGACTCCGTGGAAGTGAAAGCCCCATCGAGCGGCGTAGACACCACGGACCTTACAACCCCAACATGCAGTGCAGGCTCCATCTTCGGGCCCAAAGAACCCTCAACCGCTGCCCATGGAGAGGAAGGACTTTTGTTGGAAACAACAGTCCACGTCTAATCGACAAGTTTTTCCAGACTCCATGGAAGCGACAGCTAGCCCCACCGTGCGGCGCAGACCCCATGGAGGCTTCAGCCCCGTCATGCAGTGGAGCCTCCAGCTTCCGGCCCAAAGAACCCTCAACCGCTGCCCATGGTGAGGAAGGTCTTGTGTTGGAAACCACAGTCTGCGTCTAACAGACAAGTTTTTTCAGACTAAATGGAAGCGAGGGCCCCACCATGCGGCGCAGACAATTGGAGGTTACAGCCCCATCATGCAGTGCAGCCTCCAGCATCCGGCCCAATGAACCCTAAACCGCGGCCCATGGTAGTGAAGGACTTGTGTGGGAAACAACAACCTGCATCTAATAGGAGATATTTTTTCCAGACTTCATGAAAGCAACAGCACCATCGCGCGGCGCAGACACCATGGAGGCTACACCCCCATCACCCGGTGCAGCCTCCAGCTTCCGGCCCAAAAGAACTCTGAACAGCTGCCCATGGTGACGAAGGACTTGTGTTGGAATCAATAGCCTGCGTCTACGAGACAAATTTTTCCAGACTCCATTGAAGCGACAGCCCCATCGTGCGGCGCAGACAACATGGAGGCTTCAGCCCCATCACCCAGTGCAGGCTCCAGCTTCGGGCCCAAAGAACTCTCAACCGCTGCCCATGGTGAGGAAGGGCTTGTGTTGGAAACAACAGGCTGCGTCTACTAGACAAATTTTTCCAGACTCCAAGGAAGCGACAGCCCTAGAGTGCGGCGCAGACACCACGAAGGCTTCAGCCTAATCATGCAGTGCAGCTTCCAGCTACCGGCCCAAAGAACACTCAACCGATGCCCGTGGTGAGGAAGAATTTGTGTGTGAAACAATAGCCTGCGTCTAATGGACACATTTTTCCAGACTCCATGGAAGTGACAGCCCCACCGAGCGGCGCAGACCCCATGGAGGATACTGTCCCATCATTCATTGCAGGCTCCGGCTTCCGGCCCAAAGAACCCCTAACCGCTGCCCATGGTCACGAAGGACTCATGTTGGAAACTATAGCCTGCATCTAATAGACACATTTTTCCAGACTCCATGGAACGGTCAGCCCCATCGAGCGGCGCAGACCCCATGAAGGTTACAGCCCCATCATGCAGGGCAGGCTCCAGCTTCGGGCCTAAAGAACCCTCAACCGCTGCCCATGGTGAGAAAGAACTTGCGTTGGAAACAACAGCCTGCGTCTACTAGAAATTTTTCCAGACTCCATTGAAGTGAGAGCACCACCGTGCGGAGCAGACCCCATGGAGGCTTCAGTCCCATCATGCAGTGCAGCCTCCAGCTTCTGGCTCAAAGAACCCTCATCCGCTGCCCATAGTCACGAAGGACTTGTGTTGGAAACAACAACCTGCGGCTAATCGAAATTTTTTTCTAGACTCCATGGAAGCAACAGCTCCATCGAGCGGCGCAGACACTAAGGAGGCTACAGCGCCATCATGCAGTGCAGCCTCCAGCTTCCGGCCATAAGAACCCTCAACCGCTGCCCATGGTGAGGAACGACTTGTGTTGGAAACAACAGTCTGCGTCTAATACAGAAGTTTTTCCAAACACCATGGAAGCGGCAACCCCACCGTGCGGCGCAGACCCCATGGAGGCTTCAGTCTCATCATGCAGTGCAGCCTCAAGCTTCCGGCCTAAAGAACCCTCAACCGCTGCCCATGGTGTGGAAGTACTTGTGTTGGAAGTAACAGCCTGCGTTTAATAGACAAACTCTTCCAGACTCCATGAAAGCGACAACCCCACCATGCGGCTCAGACCCGTGGAGGCTACAGCCCCATCATGCAGTGCAGCCTCCAACTTCCGGCCCAAAGAACCCTCTACCGCTGCGCATGGTGAGGAAGGACTTGTGTTTGAAACAACAGCCTGCGTCTAATATACAAATTTTTGCCAGACTCCATGGATGCGACAGCTGAACCGTGCGGCGCTGACCCCATGGAGGTTTCAGCCCCATCATGCTGTGCAGCCTCCAGCTTCCGGCCCAAAGAACCCTCAACCGCTGCTCATGGTGAGGAAGGACTTGTGTTGCAAGCAACAGCCTGCGTCTAATAGACAAACTCTTCCAGACTCCGTGGAAGTGACAGCCCCGCCGTGCGGCGCGGACCCCATGGAGTCTACAACCCAATCGTGCCGTTCGCGCTTGGAGTTCCGACCGGTGACTTTTGCTCACCTGTGTGCCCATGTCCTACTTCTCATATAACAAAAATTCGTGCGTGTCCAGGTGCATCTTAAGTTGTCTACTTCTCCGGTGATGGGCTTTTCATGCAGAACCTACAATATACCTTGCGTACTGTGTTGTCAAGGCGTAGAGTGGAAATTTGTAAATTTAGCCAACATAGCTACAAAAGCCCAGTTTCCACTGTTTTCTAATTGTCTGTAGTTTAGGAGCATTATTTCTACTTGCAGATTTTGTCACTGTAAGGTAATGTTGGCTGTGCTGGTTATAAGCAGAAGTGCTTACCTGCTTTGATTTTATTACAGTCGAGTCTCATTAATTCAAACTCTCTTAATCCAAACTTGCGGATAATTCAAACTGACATGCAGGTCCCATCCTATGCGTCTCTATGGGAGGAAGTTCCCGGTAATTCAAACTCTGCTTTATTCAAACAAATCTTCCTTGCCCCTCAAGTTTGAATTAACAATATTTGACTGTATTTCTTTTTAGAGCGCAGCTCTTAGGGGCCCGTTTCCGGCTTGAGCGGCGTCGGCGTCGCCGTCGCCGTCGCCGTCGGCGTATCCAAGGTCATCTCAAGGTCACGGGAACCCCAAGGTCACCCCAAGCTCACGTGACCCCTCCAGGTCACGCGACCTTGGGGTGACCTTGGGGTTACCTTAGGAGGGGTCACATGACCCCTCCAGGTCACGACAAGGTCACGTGACCCCTAAGGTGACCCCCACGTGGCCCCCTGAAGGTCAGGTGACCCCCAGGTCACGTGACCCCTCGGGGTCACGTGACCCCTCCCAAGGTCACCCCAAGGTCACGCGACCTGGAGGGGTCACGTGACCCCTCCAAGTCACGTGGCCCCTTCAGGCCACGTGACTCCCCGAGGTCACGTGACCCCTCCCAAGGTTACCTCAAGATCACGTGACCCCCAGGTGACCGCCACGTGACCCCCAAGGCCACCCCAGGTCACGTGACACCCCGAGGTCACGTGACCCCTCCGGAGGTCACGTGACCTCGGGGGGTCACGTGACCTGGGGTGGCCAATGTCACGTGACCCCTAGATCACGCCTCCCCGAGGTCGCGTGGCCCCCCTCCCCAAAGTCACGTGACTCCCCTTTCCCGAGGTCACGTGACCCCCCGGAGCATATTAAAGAATAAGGGGAGGAGAAGGAGAAGGAGGAGGTGTCTACCCTCCCCTCAGTACCCTTCACTCCTGCTCCTCAAGAGCTGCGCTCCAATTCGGCGTTACAGGGAGTTGTAAACGGCTTTCACTTTTTTTAGCCGCTTGGGTACTTCTAGGCCTCCTCTGCACAGTTTTGCGTCGAGACCGAAGGACATCATAAAGCGTCTCCAAGTCAAGGTTTCAAAGTACCCAAAGACCATCGCAAGGCTGCGCAAGCAAGAGGAGAATATGCCTCCATCAGCTTCGGAAGGTCTCGGCATCATTCTCTCTCACGTGACAGACGAGGTATTTCACCTACTCTCAAGCCATGTTAAATTAAAATCCAAGGGCATGGGAAAACGATTCCCGTTATGCTTAAAAAAAGTTTTCTCTTCATCCTAACTTCTGCGGGCCGAGGGCATATCGTTTTTTTCTCATTATCTCACTCTTCCTAGTCGGCGCATACTAAGATGATGGCTGTCGTATGTCAAAACGACACCTGGAATTATACCAGGCATTATGTCATCGATCTTTACAAAAACGCAATCACGGAGTAAGCGTGATCGAGTTTGCACTCTCGTTTTCGACGAGATTGTGTTAAAAAAAACATGTCATATGACGTGTCACGAGGTGTGGTTCAGGGATTCACGAATGATGGCTGCGACCGAACCTCAACGATTGCCGACAGAGCCCTGGTTATCCTTCTCTCCGGTGTTTACCGGAGATGGGTTCGACCAGTCGCCTATACGATTGGGCACACGTCTACGCCTTCTACCGTAATCCGGAACCTGTTGCTCTCGCTCACTGAGCACTTGAAAGACATTGGAATTACAGTTAAAGCTGTAATTTGTGACCAAGGATCTTCCAATGTAAGCTTAGCAAACCAGCTTGGTGTCTCTGTGGTGCAGCCCTTTTTTCGTAACAAATGGACGCGTTTCCTTCATTTACAATGTTCCCCATTTAGTGAAGATAACTCGGAACAACCTCCAGGCCCACAGGCTTCATATCGATAATGAGATGGTGGACTGGGCAGATATTGTGAAACTGTACCACTCCACACATAATCATAATAATAATAATAATAAGTTTATTTCGACATGCATATGTCTGGGAGGCTGCGGCAAAAGAAGACACAAAGTCCTCTGACGTGGCTTCCAGCCCCCATTACAGCACTCGGCACGTACTTCTAAGGATACCGAAAAAAAAAATGAACATCAATTACCTAATTCACATGAAAATAAGTTTACGGATGAAAACATTTGAAGAGTCACAAAGTTTAGTGAAAAATAACAAACACTGTTACATGTAATATAATTGATCACATTTGCGCATTTGAACTAATGGCACAAGTGGCAGGTGCATATTATTCGATTGAAAGAAAATATAATTTGATCATTTTCCTAAACATCTGGAGATTCCTACAGTTGTGTACCATTTGAACTATATTTGCATGAGTATTTAGTAAGTCAGCGATTTGATAATGAAGTGTTTGAGTTCCATAGTTTGTCCTAGCATTTTGTTTGATGTAAAAGGTGTGTCTAAGAGTGTAATCGGCAGGCTTATGAAGGTAGGCGTTGAAGAAGAAGGTCTCATCCCGCTTTATCTCGTCAAATATAATGTTCGCTTATTTAATAGAAAAAAACATGTCCGATGGGTAATAGCTTGTACTTTTCGAATGTGGGGGATGTGTGCTGAATATAACCTAAATTATCTATGAACCTAACGGCCTTCTTTTGTAAAAGAAAAACTTTTTCAATGTTTGTTTTTGTCGTGGTTCCCCAAACTAAAAGACAATACTGTAGGCGGGAGTACACAAGAGTATAGTAAAGTTGCAGTTTAAGCCAGTTTGATAACCAGTGTCTGACTTTATTCAGTATACCAACTGAACGTGATATATCACAACTAATTTTATTTACATGGTTTGTCCAACTTAAAAACTCCTAAAACCAAAACCCCAAGGAACTTGTGAGCCGAAGTGCTTTCTATCGTAGAGTTTAAAAATGTAACATTCAACTTACACTGAACAAGTTTATTTTTAGACCTGAATATAACATATTTTGTCTTCGCTGTGTTTAACTCTAGTTGGTTAGACCTCAACCACTGAGATAGCTCATTAAGCCAGCAATTTGCACACTGTTCAATTTCATCGAGATTTGTCCCGGAAAAGAATACGTTGGTGTCGTCCGGGTACAGGATAATATCGGGGGTTCGCGGTATATTAACTATGCCATTTATATATGCCAAAAATAACAAAGGTCTGAGGATTGAACCCTGAGGAACGCCGTACTATATCAGGGAAGTTTGTAATGTAAAACCGTTTATAGATGTGAATTGTCTTCGAGCTGATAAGTAATTCTTGACAAGTTCGAGAGCGAATCCCCTTATACCATATTGTTGTAGTTTTCCAAGAAGAATATCATGCTTTATAGAGTCAAAAGCTTTCCGAAAATCTAGGAATATACCGAGTCTGTAAAGTCGATTTTCTATGTTACTTATTATTTTGTTTTTTATGCATAGCAAAGCTGTTTCTGTAGATTTTCCTTTCTGAAACCCATAAAAACATTAGATGCGACTGCGGTTGGCGCCAAAGTTAACCGAAAGACATATCTAGACATATCTACCAGAAACCTTTCAGTAATATTAACGTTAAGCGGGCGACGCAGGAGTTGGATGCTTCAGTGTGTGTTGCGCTTTTAGCTCTTGTGAATACGAAACAGCTGCCTGAAGCAGCCATGTCAACTGCTTATTTTAGTGATCCCACGGGCAAGCTGTTTTGTCGTTTTAATAGCTCCAGTCAAAAAAAAAAAAAACGGAGCAAAAGTTGCGCCAATGCTATTCGAAAAGGGCAGCCGGATTAAGTTGAGTTTCTCAGACAACAGCTTTCATGGATTGCGTCTTGGAAGTTCGAACGCAAACGTCAGCGACACACTATCATTGAGTGACAAATTATGATCGAATCCGTCTTGCTGCTGTGGGAAGATGTTTGCCAGAATCACGACTTTGAGTTTCTCCTCACGCGTCGACTTCAAGAAGACCCACTTTAACAAAGGTTTGGACACATAAGATAAAAGCAGGGACGTAACTCGAATCCCATTGTTCCTCAGTTCATATCTGGGCTGAAACACATTGGGATTCAGAAGCTCCTCACACTGTCACCGAAGTGAAATATCGAGGAGGATGAGACGGACTTCCTTCAGGAGTTGTCCCCATTTTGACTTAGTAGCGAGTCACTCGTGGATGTTGTGCGACATGTCCGACAGGAAGACTTTCCATCTTTTAAAAACATCACTAAGTTGGCAGCTCACGAGCAGTCCCATGCTATTGACAGCTCTGCTACTTATTATGCTGCTGGCTTCCTTGTTAAAATATTTAATGAGAAGGCAGCAGAAGGTTGTCGTTGTCCTGGCTTGCTCTGGGATGAGCATAGTAAGCTTGATTAGCCACATCAGTTTTTTATGACGCTTAAAGCGTACCACGTCCCAGGCAAGCTCTTTGGCAACTTGATTGTGCCATCAGCGCAGCTTTCGCACTTGTTCAGCAGCTCGAGACAATCTTTTTTTTTTTTTCTATTATCGAAAGTGTAGCGCAACACCGAAGTGTTTGTGGGTCATTGTACATAACTCTCATATGTGTTGGTGATTTTAAGTTTTGCACTCCAGAGCGTCGTGCACGGTTTTTAGAAATGTTTTGCGGGATTCAATTGTGCTGGCATATCCGTTTCGTAAATAGAAACTTGGATAAAGTTCGCTTTCATTCTCGCGTCTGTGTTGTACAGCTTGAAACGTTCAGCGGATAGAACTTCACTCTGGAGATGTTTCCGCCTTTATGTTGCATTTCATAAGATATCTGCAAGAGTAAAATTAATTTTATTGGTATTTTATTGGGCCGTTCAGACTGCGCATTAGCGATTTGTAGAGATTATTTGCAGCAAAAAGGTTTTACTCTACTTACTGGTCTATTGTAATGATTGTTTTTTTTTTTTAAATAGGCATGTCTGTTTTTTCCTATTATGGTCCTGTGGGATGTGTAAGTTCCCATTTTGATCTTTGTTAATACTCTCTTAGGTCACTCATCTTCGATGCAACTTCCTTTGCTTTGTACACTGTTTCTGCTTTGCCCATATGTGAAGAGTTAAGGAGATTGAGATCAAATGTGCCTACCAACCTTGCAAGCCTGAAATTCTGAGGGAATTTCGGATCACCTCGAAAAGTTAGGGAATTACCAGGGAAACTGTCAAAAGTTTGACCAAATCAGGGAAAGTGACCAGTAAAAGTTGCACGGTGGTACAGAACGAAGCCCGGCGATCAGGTGTCGCTATGACTCTGCTGAATAACATTGCCCGAAATCTTATCCTTCGAAGGAAGGGACAGGTAGGACATTTTATTGAAATAGTCAAGGAAAACCTAGAAATATCATGGAGTTCGGAAGAAGTCATTTAGTAGACACCCTGTAAGATGTACTTAATCAGTCAGTGCAGATTGCATGCGAAGACTTGGTGGAGTCATTTGTGATGAGTGGGTCGCAGGTACACCGGGCACCAGTCTGCTTCAGGAGTCTTTGGTCAGCCATTTCATTTGTGCTTTTTATGGTAGTTTTCATGTTAAACGTGACATGAACGTAAAACCTGTATTAGTCCGTCGATTAGCTTTCAGTTCTTGTTATTTTGGTCATTATTGTTACTTAAATCAGAAGGGGAAAGGTATGTTTAATTCTGCAGTGCAGGCTGTGTAAGGGTGCCTAATGACTAGGCCACAAACTAAGAAGGCTATACTAGTGGCGATCTCGTTGAGGCATTTACTTGTTTGTATTTTCTCATTGTGGTCATCGTGCATTTCAGCATTCTTCTGCTGAACCTTTCATTTGCATACGAATTCCATTAAATCAACGAACTTTGATACTTCATGGCCAGTTTTTTTTATATTTGTTGCTGATGCTGCATATGCTATGTGTGTGTACGCCTTCCATTGAACTTGCTTGAGCACACAAAGCAGGCTTTAATCCAATTTCAGTTGTAACGTTGCAATTCCAGTTGTTTGATAAGATTTTCATGCCTGCCATATTATGCTCGTCGTTTGTTGTAGGATGCACTGTTTGTGAATCCTTGATGCACGGCGCTTGTGTTTTGTATTTTTTATAATTATATACGAGGCGCAAACTGCCCATCATATTTTTGTTGCGAAAATGAACTCTGTTGATTACTCAATGGTGGTGGTCTTCTTGACTTGCTCAAACCTACATGGCTTTCCTGGCTTGTAAAGTCAGTGTTAACTGTATACAGCATTGTCCATTAGTTGTCCGCATTAGGGATCATACATACGTGTGAAGTAATTATAGCTGAAATTTGGAATGCGGGAATAGTAAGAAAAACATAACTCGCAGCAATCCAGATGGCGCAGGCTACCGCCAAATACACTAAGCCAAACTAGATATATATTCATCCGGTAATTTTTTTTGATTGTGACTCTATTAATTTAGTTGGGGACTACGACGGCCGCTGGGTGCGCTCCCTGCCAGCTAAATGGGCCGCTCGGTTCTATGGAAGTGTCCGCTCCTTACC